AGTCAGGAAATTCAGAAAACAGATGCCAGTTTGGCATGTCAGATGGGAATTCACATGACAGTCTGCCATTTTTTTCCCCATCTCGTTTTCCTCTGAGCCAAGAACTTCTCTTAGAGTCTTTTCCGAAGGGATCTGCAACTTGGCCGGAGGAAAAGCTCCCCTCATCAAGTCCATTGTCTACTCCTTCAATGCATAAATCTCAATTCAAGTTTCTCAAAGCATCATATCAGAGCACATCAAGTTCTCATGCATGGGGTATGGTTATTGTGACAGCCGGGTGGGATGGACGAATTAGATCCTTTCACAATTATGGTTTGCCAGTCCCTGTTTGATTTTTATTTCTAGCAGGCTGTTCTGTAAATTCAAAAGTCATAATTTTGGTTGCGAGCTCTACTCATTCAGCATCAACTTCTGTTGATGTAATCACAAACATGAAGTGGGGTATGCTGACAGGAGAGATTTAGTGCTCCAATAGGTTCTGCTTGGATTACTCTACAAACATGTGCATTGTACTTGATTTTAAGAATCTGGTGGTTGGACTGGATCATTCTCAGATATCAAAAGGCATGCTTTTAATCCAAGCTGGATCGTAACAAATGGCAGCATCTCTGTGGTCGACGTGTTATCCATCTGTGAATCAGTGAGTGGCTGATCTTAAAGCTGCAATCTCTTGATTTGCCACATGAGAGAAGTTTTTGTCTCCCGGCCCAGAAAAAGATACGCAAGTCATGTGTAAGCTAGGGCAGTGCAAGATACTACCTTTTACTGCAATGAAGTTGGCTGTGGCCCATTTCGGAACCTATTTCGTTTGTGCTCTAAGATTGATTGAAAGATTGCAGAGCTGGTGGTGTAAGTTTATTTGGGAAAAAAAATGGTAGGGAACTTCAGAGGCGTGGTATGTTTCTGGCGTGAATGACGAATCTCTTTTGTCTGCCATTACCAGGTCTACCTCATGGTAGGGTCAATCACACCCTGAATTGGAGATGGGGTATGGGTTCCACAAATATTTTTCTTCTTCTTGAGCTCTTTCCTCTTTTTGAGTGCTTGCTGGTTTGTTCATGGAGGGACTTTCTTTTTTAGTTCTGGTCTGGTAGTCATACACTCAAATCTCTTTTTGTGTTATTGCTAACAAAAATTCATATATAGCAACATCAGTTTTAGGATTAGTCTTCAGATTTTAGGGCCTTTATTTATATATATACACATTCCCCCTTTCCCCCAATGAGAGGGATAGTTGGAAAGTTTGTCTTCCAAGTTTGGCATACTTGTAATTGGATCCTATTTACTGTAAATGAAAAAGAGTTGATTTGAACCTCCTTCACCTGTATGAGTGCTTGTGGCCTAAGCATTTGACAGTGAACATACTGAAATTTACCCAGTACGGTTTTTTTTTCCCAACTTTGGGACTGTACAGAATTTGAGTTCTATAATCTATTCGACCAGATTTAGAGAGTTTTATAAGTGATATATCTAACCCTATATTTTATAAATTATTCACTCATGCTTAGAGGAAAATAATACCTTATAAATAACCCTATACTTCTATTGAATTTTTCTTTATCTTTTTTTATAAAATAAGTTAAAAGTCGAATTTTTATTTCGTGAACAAACATAACATATTTAATCAGAACGTACTTAAATATATCACGATTCAATAAAAGTAAAATAATTAGTCATTACAATCTCATTAATATATTAATAAATTATATATTTGACTTCGTTAAAATAAATAGTATAAGATAATAACTGCTATTCATAATATAATACAAAATGAATACATTAATGAGTTAAGTTTTTAACTTCATTGAATTATATATTATAATTCGATTACTGTCAATTTATAATGCATTCTTAAATAAAGTATTGAAGCAAAGTAAGATTTGAAATGGGAGCAATTCAAAATCAAGCAATGGCAGACATCATTCAATCAAGCAATGTAGTAAATCTAGGAAGGATCATGTAAAAGAGACAGGGAAAAGTGAAAAACAATAAAAGCATTAAACTTTGGTTGGATGGAGATAAATGGAAAGTGGGCATAAAAAGGCAAAAGGGTTTGTTGTAGATTATATTGATTAATGAATTTTTGTGTTTATTTAATGTATTAGGAGACAATTAGTACTAATAAGATTGGTTTTTAGGGAACAAACTTGGCTTTTTGAGGGCTTATCTGTGAATCTAATCCAACAAAAAAGTAGTACCACCTCCTAGGCTTCACTATATGTATATATATATATATATATATATATATATATATATATACACACGCACACACAACATACACGTGACCTTATATGTATATATTACATATATTTACATGAATCTTAATTCTTGTGAAAGGACAGTGAAACTTTAGAGGGTTTTTTTGGTGGGTATTGTAAATTAAAGGA